CTATAAAGGAATTGGGGACCAAAAGTCATGATATATTTTCAAATTTTGTTCGGAAATGATTTAAGACGTTTTAGATTAACTGTATAAACTGTCTTTAAAAAAAAAACTCGAAGATTTTTGGTTGTGTTATGGTCAAGCGAGTACACAAGTCACTGTATATTGCTGACTGAGTACTTTCGAACTCTTTCTTTGCTATCCTGACCGTGATCCTGGCCGGATTTTATTGGTCAAAGATTCAGTTTAAGCTACGAATTACTACCGTATTACTATTTACATCATAGGATGATTCATGAACGATGTATTCATCCGTATTGATCTTACTTCAAGAAGGAAAAACAAGCCTATGTTAATACTAGGTCCATGCTCAATAAATGGATGTTTTGGTACCATGTTTTTGGTCAATTTAGGTGTTTAGAAGACACATGACTTATAAAAAGGATTTCTTCTTACCCAATTTAACTTTGCCTTCACACATTCTCATAAGTTTGCGGGCATTCATTTGTAAGTTTTTTTGACGAGCCCTATGCCCTTGTAAATGTGTTTCGCATTTCGGATAGGATTTTTTTTTAAGTGCATGTTTTATAAATTTATTTATTGAAACATTATACAACTATTAAAATATTCGCTGATATTTTAAACACGTGTTTATACCCGTTACTCGTAGAGTAAAAGGGTATATTGTATTCGTGCAAAAGTATGTAACAGGTAGAAGGAAGCGTTTCCGACCCCATAAAGTATATATATTCTTGATCAGGATCACTAGCCGAGTCGATCTAGCCATGTCCGTCTGTCCGTCTGTCCGTCTGTCTGTCTGTCTGTCTGTCTGTCCGTCTGTCCGTATGAACGCTGAGATCTCGGAAACTATAAAAGCTAGAAGATTGACATTTTGCATGCAGATTCTAGGAGTTCCTACGCAGCGCAAGTTTGTTTCAAAAGGGTGCCACGCCCCCTCTAACGCCCACAATCGCATATATACGATTTTAAAAATTTCAATATTTTGGAAAAGTAAAAATGCAGTTTTATTGTGTTTATCAATACCTATCGAAATGTAGAAGAAATTTTTTAAATCGGACCATTCGTTAAAAAGTTACGGCGGATCAAAGTTTTTCTCCATCTCTTTCGCACTCCCTTTAGCTGAGTAACGGGTATCTGATAGTCGGGGCACCCGACTATAGCGTTCTCTCTTGTTTAGTTTATTTTTGGCCCTGATAAGATTCTTTGTGCTTTGTGATATAACATTTTTGAAGGAAAAATGGGCCAGGACTCGGTTTTTCTGTGTTATCCTTCAAAGTTTATGCCATTCTTAATGAAGATGATCCAAAACCTAACCAATCCAACCGGTTTTCATGACCGTTTTTCATCTAATATGTTTCTTTTTTGATTATTTTTCTTTTCCGACTTGGAAAATTTTCCACATGTCCTTGTATTGCCAAATGGTAATCAATTTGATGTCTGGATATCAGGAGAAGTTAGTTTTAGTCAAATCTCATAAAATATATCCTTTATACACAAGAATATTAGCGCATCGTAACGTTTTATTTAAAAAAAACGGAAGTGGTGCTATTATTTTTTTCGGCCTTTTTTGACTTTTTTTTTTTAAAATCTGAAAAAATTATATGTAGACAATATTTTCGATATCCGTATCAATTTTTTCAAATAGGTGGAATACTAATCAAGATAATAAAAAACACTTCTTATATAAAAATCCTCGTTTTCCACGTATTTCTTTAATATCACAGTGCAACATGAAAAATGTAACCGCAATTCTGATTTCATGGGCGGAAAGAACTCATCGAAATAAGCTAAAACCCATTTGGGTTTCTCTGGCTTAGCTCGCGTTTACCTTTTATAGCGAGTTAAAGTTTTACATACAAAAATTATTTTTTTTTTATTTATCTTCGACAATTACACCCAGGATGCGAGTAGACTACATTACAACTAAGCTATCGTAGAGCGGTTATAAAATATATCATAGACATGGAAAAATACCCTTCTCGTTTCCATGGAGAATCCTCGTTTTCCATACAGTATGTTTTCATTTAAAATTAACAACGATTGTCTTTAGAAAACTAAATTCACGTATGCGATGCTTATTCCATAAATATTTTTTTATTTATTTAATTATCTCTCTTTACTAGTTCCAACTTGAACTAAGTTCTAATTATTTCTTTGATTTTAAAAAGGAACATCATGTACACATATTTCTTAGTAGGTTACCTATTTACGTTTAGCTTCTATTTAATTGTATCGAAAACCCACACAAACTGAACAAAAACAAGAGAGAACGTTATAGTCGGGTGCCCCGATACCCGTTACTCAGGTAAAGGGAGTGCGAGGGAGAAAGCTTTGATCACGCATAAATTTTAAACGAATGGTCCGATTTGAAAATTTTTTTCTACATTTCGGTAGGTATTGATAAACACAGTAAAACTGCATTTTTACTTTTCCAAAATATTTAATTTTTTAAAATCGTATATAAGGGATTGTGGGCGTGGCACCTTCTTGAAACAAACTTGCGCTGCGTAAGAACTCCAAGAATCTTCATGCCAAATACCAATCCTCTAGCTTTTATAGTTTCCGAGATCTCAGCGTTCATACGGACGGACAGACGTACAGACGGACATGGCTTTCCTCTTAGTTATAAAAAAAATTTACAATACCCAAAAACCCAAGTTTCAGCAAGCTCCAAAACTGTATTTAGCGTTTGTCCAATTATTCGTTGAGCTAAAAAAATCGACACAAACGTGTAAATGCAAAAAAATGTCGAGTTCCTATTGATAATTATACCCGTTACTCGTAGAGTAAAAGGGTATATTGTATTTGTGTAAAAGTACACTCATAGAAATTTTTACCCTAAATCACCCTAAAAAACTGACTTTTCGCCCGTGGATTAAGAAAAATTTTTCTAAAAAACCTTATGGAAATTTGGTTTAATTTAGGGTGATTTTTCTTGAATTGAGAAACATTTTCCTGTTTTTAAGGTGATTTGCCCTTAGTTTAAGGCGTATTTTTCTGAAAGTAAGGGCAAATTTTCTGTTTTTAAAGGCAAATGCCCTAAAAATAGACAAATTAAAAAAAATCGTGTTTAAGCATGCTTTGCTGAATTTGGGGAGCATGTATTTCAATCGTGTATATTCTGAGAACTGGGACTGCTTTAATTAAACAACACTGGCGGAGGACGCCGTTTCATGTTATTGTATTGGTGTGTAGCTATATGGGCGCTGCGTTAAGGGGGGCCGACCTATACAGCACAACCGTTAGAACTGAAAAATCATATTTGTAAACGAATTAGGGAAATAAATATGAGGAGAAAAAACAACTTACTTTTGGTCACTCCGAGAATCGAACCCACGACCTCTCGGTTCAGAGTCTAACGTCCTACCGCTGCACCACAGACCCATCGCGCAAGGCGACGTACAAACTCTCTCTCACATCTTATTTTCTTGAGGTCTACGTTATAATTTGACTAAAGGCAACTAAACCGTATACTTTTTTCCTGACGACTGTGACAATTAGGGCGACAATTAGTTTTTGCCCGCAAACACAAAGTATGCTTTTAACTCAGAATTCCCATACGTTTTTAAGGTTTGATGACTACATTAATTTAAAATTCGGACGAAAAAATGTCCTTAGTATTATTACGTTTTAAAAAAAAAAAAAACATAAAAATCAAGTTGCATCACACAGGGTTCGAACCCACAACCCCACGACCTTAGTCCTCATGTAGCAAAGTTGAAAGCGCAAGTGATTAGACCGCTGGGCTACCGAATTTCACACTTTTGGAGTGATTTTTAAGTCGAATTGCCCATGTATTTGGAAAAATATTAGGAAAAAAATTAGGGCAGTTCGCCGTTGGATTCAGAAAAGGTCAAAACGAAGCAAATCGAAAAATATTACCCTAAATATTAGAAAAATGTAAAATTTAACCCTACAAAGTTATTTTATGGTCACCTGCCTTGAATTTATGGCAAATTTGTCGTGAAAATAGAAAAAAATTTCTCAGTTCAAGGGCGAAAATTTTTTTTGTTTTTTAATTTGATTTATTTTTGTAAGAAAGGTGAAAGTATAACAATAAATAAAACTAAAAAAAATATAGATTTAACCCATTTTGTTTAGTTTTTGTATGTTTTGGGTCCACCGAACCCATTCTTCTTAAGTATGTAATGTCTAAAGTAGAAAGAAGACTTTAAGAATGTTTCATCCAGAATGCTTTGCAACTAAGAGGCCAGTTTGCGTAGAAACGGAAAGACGAACCTGGCCTTTTTCTATGTTTGTCGGACCAGTAAATGGATATATGCTAGAACGTTTCGATTTAATAAATTAAGCATTTCCATAAACTATTAATTTCAAATATTCTCTGAATTAATTTAGTTCGATTTTGCTACTTTGTTAACATACAGTAAAGTTAGCTAATCCGCGTTCATTCGCATCTTAAAAATTAAAAGGGACTTTGTATTCGATTTGCCGTATCGCTATTTCTTAATATGGACAATGGACAGTGACTTGGGTACTAGAACCGTTTTTAACTAATGCTCAACTAAATTGTACTTTCATTTGCAGCTGGAACCATGCTGGTGTGCATCGAGGTACTTTGCGTTCCACATCACAACTTTTGCAAATCATTTACATTCACATATTCACACCGCACTTTACGGGCTGGTTAAAATCGATGGGGAAATGTAATCCTGGACACTTTTCAGCTAGATCTCGCTCTACCTTTTTACCCAAGAAAAAGTTTTTTACCCAAGAAAAAGTTAAGAGTAATGTTTAAAGCATCATAATCTCTAATAAAGTGCAACAAATTTGAAGATATCGTTAAATATTTGTTATTTATTTTAGCCATTATTTCTGGGTAAAGCTAAGAACAAACGATCAATTACACTGTGGAACAATATGAATGCTTTTTAATTTTACCTCGATTTTGCGATTTTTTTAAAGGAAGAAACAAATTCTAGAAAACAAAGTCAAAAACATAAAAGTATACAGCTGCGGTCAAAATAGTAGTAGCGTTGCCGCCCTGTGTTTCAAAAGCATCCATCGAGGAAAATTTTAGATGTTGCACAGTGTTATTGAAACAAAGTCAATGCCATACTTTTGGAAAACACGCAAAGCAATTTAAGATAATTTTGTTAAAATAATTAAACGACTGAAATTAATTTGTGCCAGTTGAGTCACATTTTTGTATCGCATCTGTTATAAACTCGTCAGTGGAGCAAGGATGTAAGGACACATTTCCCTCATACGACATCCCGCCCATTCACACACTCGCACATTCAAACTGGGTTCGGATGAGACCTAAAGCTTTGATCGGCCCCCTATCTTGGAGACCTTAGATTGTGCCCTATCTGCTCAGCAGCTGATCCACATTGAGGGTTAGCTCTGGCCCTGGTTGGGTGCCATTATTGTTGTTGGCCGCTTCTTGGGACTGGGAGCCACTGTTGGCACTATTGCTGCCGTGGCTGAAAATCCGATTCAAGGTCCTGGAAGGAGCCGGCGATGTGGGAGCGGAGAGCTGGGGCGGACTGATGGGCGGGAGAGGCGGCGACTGCGCCTCCAGCGTCGAGGGCGGACTGCGGTTGAGGTTGCTGTCCAGGCTACTGTGGTGCTGCGAGGAGGCCGGCGACAGCGGGATTTCCTCAATTTTTTCCAGATCCTGGGTGATAGAGGCGGAGTTCTGCTTGTGGGCCCGCGTCAGCGTACCCTTGGGACTTCTGGAGGTGTCGTGCAAGAGGGGTATGTCCAACATAGAGCTCTTTACCCCCCCACCACCACCCCCCACTAAGGCCGAGTAAGTTGTGGCCTGCAGGGAGTGCTGGTGGTGCTGCTGCTCTCCCTTCGCCTGCTGGTCATCGCGATCCAAGCTGAACTGCCGACGCAGCAGGCGAGTGGAGCCGGGCTTGCTGTCGAACCGGGCGGCAGCTCCCCCACAGGCGCTTCCGGTTCCGACTATCGAGGGGCAGCCGCCGCCGCCCCCCTGGCCGCTTCCCGCTCCGCCCCCCGCACTGCCATATAGGTATTTGCCATCGTAGAACTGCGTAAGATTACTCTCGCTGGGACTGAGGCATTTGTAATGATTGTATGGCGAGCTGAGGTCCATCATCTCCTCGATCTTTTTGTACAGGCGGGAACTGGAACCTCCCGTGGAATTGGGTAGCCGATTGAAGCTGTTCGGGTTGAGCAGATTATCCGGCGTCAGTTCGGAGAGCTTGCGTGACTGAGGACTTGTACTGCTGGGCGTCGTCTTTCCCGGAAACTCCGGACAGAGGGTCGCATTGGGGCTAATTGTATTGGTGGAATTGGAGTCCAGGGAGTACGAGTTGGGGAGATTGGCGCCGGAACCCAGGTCTGCGTTGGTAGGTGGGGTTATCTCAACCTTTACCTCTACGGATTCCCCAGCCAGAGAGGAGCTCTGGGAAGATGAAGGATTAGTGCTCGTCCGAGATTTGTTGGCCTGCGCCTTCAGGGTTATCGAGTTGCGTATCAGGGACTCATCCAATCTGTGGAAGACCATTGAAAAGTGATTACTATACAGCTAAAATAAAATAAGTTTCAACATACCCGTGCGACTCTCTAATTGAATTGAAGGAATGCAGCAGTAGGATTGAAACATTTGATTACATAACAATTAACAAAGTTTGATTATAAATGGTAAAGTCAAACTGATCCTAAAATTGTATTGTTTTAACTTTTTGATATCACTGTGGACGGCAGTCCACGTAGTGACGAAGCGCACCAGGAGAGTGTGTGGAAGAAATAAAAATCTGCTGTGATGGTCCGATCGTAATCGAAAGGTATCGCAAAATTGTAATGGATTAAATACCAAGACTTTAAGAAAATCAATTGGCTTGGAAGAGAGAGCGGTGAAAGTGAAAATTTCGAAATTTGGAGCTGTTGGGTCCGGTGGGGATAAATGCGCCTCGCGCTACCTGTCGAATGAGAAGTCATATGATAAAATACGATGCTCGATACCCAATACAAGATTTTCTTCTTCTTCCAAAAATAATAATTTAATTCTGTTTGTCAGTCTGTCCCAAAACTTTGGTTTAAAGTCCTGAAAATTTTTTATGGTGTTACACCGCTCGTTATATGAAACATTAGTTCTACCACTTTTGGAAAAACTCGCTAGTTTAGCGGGAAAACATTTATAGGATAAATTTGTAAGCCATCTTTTCCTCTTCGGCACGCTGCAATTGAAAGTGCCTGTGAAAGTAAAAAATAAGGCTGGAATAGTTTGCTAGGGCGGGCCGAATGAGAAAATTTTAGAAAGTGTATTTAATGACGAGTGTAATAATTTTTCGTCACAAATGTTAATATCAAAACTTTTGTATGTTGAAGGTCGCACCTCGACACTAGTTTTTAACCTCGTTAAGAGGTGTTTTTATTCGATCTTTAATTTTTGGAAATATACATTTTTTAACATTTCAGAATTTTTAAAAAAATTTAAACAAAATCGGTCGATTAAATAGCTACTACGGAAAGGGTGAGATAATTGTAGATCTTTGATTTTAATGATATTCTCTAGTACTCTGGAGTTCTTGGTCATATAGCTGTCATAGAAACGATCTGCAAGGGTATATAAACTGGTTTGTCGAACTAAGCTTCATTACTTACGTCATTACAAAAGGCATAGTCTCTTTCAAAATGACTACTGATTGATATATGCTCACCCAATAGGCGGTGGTGCTGGCAGCAGCTTATCGAATCCTTTTTTCCCCAGCAGCCAAAAGGTGTTCATCATGCCTTTGCCCTTAATGTCGATAAGACCCCTTGGCTCGATGGCATAGCCGCCACGAGCCTCCAGTCGATCCCTTGTCTCCTGGGACATATGGATGCGCCAAGAGGATCCTAAAATAATGATTAATTCGCGTGAAAGTTGGCTATCAAGAAAGCTATTCAACAATTACCGGTTGACTCCATTCGCGAGGCCGTGTTGACGGTGTCTCCAAATAAACAATACCTCGGCATCGTAAGACCAACCACCCCGGCACAACAGGGACCTGTATGGAGGCCAATTCTAAGTTGGAGCGGAACTCCGGGCAGATGCTTCACGTTAAAGCGACCACTCTGATGCAGCAGGTCTAAGGCCATGGTAGCTATCTGCTCGGCATGATCAGGTATTTTCACGGGAAGACCGCTCACCACCATATAGGCATCACCGATTGTCTCCACCTATCCAAAGAAGTGGCATAAAATTAAATACTTGTCTCTCCTTTAATCAGATTAAATTAAGTAGATCTTAACTTCTATACTTATAATTGGCTATTATTTAAAACCAATAAAAATCTGGCGTTGCGAGGAAAACATAAAAAACTAAAATGTGTCATTGAAACGAAAAATTTTTAATTATTAGAATATATTCCACACCTCGTAATATTAAAAAAAAGCTAAATTTTCAGTTGTTCTGTGTAATAAAAATATATCCACTTACCTTATACACATTATAGGCATTGATCGTGGCATCGAAGATCGTGTAGAGATCGTTGAGCAAATCCACAACCTGCACGGGACTGCAATGTGCGGCGATTGTTGTAAAACCAACAATATCGCTAAAGTATATGGTCACGTCGGAAAATTCTTCCGGGTCGACGGCCAAGCCCATCTTCAGTTTTTCAGCAACAGAGCTGGCCATAGGAATTGATATATATTTTAAACAGATAAGAGACGTTCCATATCAACCCGGCCACCCACTTTTTATACCCGTTACTCGTAGAGTAAAAGGGAGAGGGAAGCGTTTTCGACCCAATAAAGTATATTAATTCTTGATCAGGATCACTAAGGGACACCAACCCGACTATAGCGTTTTCTCTTTTTTTTTTTTTGTATGTGGACAGTACCACATTGATTGCAAAGCCCCTGTCTTCCAATATTTTACCTCATACCTATTTTGTCAATGTTACCACTCTTTCGCCGTATATTCGCGCTGAAAAGAAAACACAAAATCATTTTTATCCTGCGAGCGGAAGACAATTTTCATGGTTCAAAAGCAGAAAAATCTGTCTTTCCATGGCCGATTACGAGAAAAAAAATTTTATTAGACCGTAGATGACCAAGCGATAGCGTTTTTAAAGTCTAAAAGTAGGATTTCGTCCAAAGGGCCAGTCTGCAAAAGTAGCATTATTATACCCGTTACTTGTAGAGTAAAAGGGTATATTGTATTCCTGCAAAAGTATATAACAGCTAGAAGGAAGCGTTTCCGACCCCATAAAGTATATATATTCTTGATCAGGGTCACTAGCCGGGTCGATCTAGCCATGTCCGTCTGTCCGTCCGTATGAACTCTGAGATCTCGGAAACTACAAAAGCTAGAAGGTTGAGATTTTCCACACATATTCTTGGGCCTCCTACGCAGCGCAAGTTTATTTCAGCCGAGCGCCACGCCCCCTCTAACGCCCACAATCGCCCACTAACGATTTTAAAATGGGTCCTGCACCCACATCTTTAAAGATTTCCGAGAAGTATAAATGCAATTTTGTTGTGTATATTTATACCTATCGAAATGTAGAAGACATTTTTCAAATCGGAGCATCCATTAAAAAGTTATACGCATTCAAAATTGTCAATATATATCTATCTCCCTCGCACTCCCTTTGGCTGAGTTACGATTATTAGTCGAGACACCAACCCGAGTACAGCGTTTGCACTCCCTTTAGCTGAGTGACGGGTATTAGATAGTCGGGACACCAACCCGACTATAGCGTTCTCTCTTGTATTTTTCTCAAAAAGCCAAAATTTAACGGATTTTATGCCACTGCTTTCAAAGTGGGATCTATTTTGTGCAATTATAAATATTGCACACAAAAAAATTTGCTTGGTAAAATTGACCAACAAAGATAGTTACGTAACTATTAAAATAGTTACGTGTATTTTGTTTTTGCTTTGGGTTTGTGTCTTTGCTAATTGTGTGTATTTTGTTGTTGTAAAATGACTATTTACTTAGTAGAATTGACAATTTTGCTGGTTGGGGCCCGTTTGACAATTATTACAGTTGATTTTACCAAGTTTTTTTTTTGTGTGTGGAAGCAAGGGGCTTTGCAATCAATGTGGTACTGTCCACATACAAAAGAAAAAGGGGCCAACCACCCTCCCTTTTTATACCCGTTACTCGTAGAGTAAAAGGGTATATTGTATTCCTGCAAAAGTATGTAACAGGGAGAAGGAAGCGTTTCCAACCCTATAAAGTATATATATTCTTGATCAGGATCACTAGCCGAGTCGATATAGCCATGTCCGGCCGTCCGTCCGTCTGTCCGTCCGTATGAACGCTGAGATCTCGGAAACTACAAAAGCTAGAAGGTTGAGATTTTCTACACATATTCTTGGGCTTCCTACGCAGCGTAAGTTTATTTCAGCCGAGCGCCACGCCCCCTCTAACGCCCACAATCGCCCACTAACGATTTTAAAATGGGTCCTGCGCCCACATCTTTAAAGATTTCCGAGAATTATAAATGCAATTTGTTGTGTATATTTATACCTATCGAAATGTAGAAGACATTTTTCAAATCGGACCATTCATTAAAAAGTTATACGCAATCAAATAAATGTTATATATCCATCTCCCTCGCACTTCCTTTAGGCGAGTGACGGGTATTAGATAGTCGGGACACCAACCCGACTATAGCGTTCACTCTTGTTTTTTCTTTTGATTGATATAGAACGTAGTGGCACAGTGACGGGACTTTACCTTGGCAACATGCGATTCAGCAGCTGTTCAGTCTTCTTTCGTTCAATGTCCAGTTGCTCGGTGCGTTCCCGAATTAACTCCTCCAAGTTGTTCGAGTACTTCTCGAGCATTTGAAACATGGTGTCAACAAAGTTCACCTTTCGTCCATGGTTCAGCATCTTAAAGCGCTCATAAACGCTTAGAGGCAAGAAGTTAGTATGAAATTAAACAATGAAATAATTACTCATGTTAGAACAAAAATTGCGCTAACTTTGACTGTTTTTCCCGTTATCAGGACCCAAAAACACGTCGATATATAAAGTTAGACCTATTACACAGGCCGACAAAATGTGACATGGGTCGGTGTCCAGGCCTGCCACCATTTTATTTCGATAAATTAGGCTTTTCTAAGCATAAGTTGCCACTACGCCTATAGTCCATCAGCTCTGGTATTTGCGGTATCTTTCATTTAAGAAAATCACAAAATTTCTTCGGCTTTTGGGATATATCTTCAAGAGTGGTCAACCAATTTTGGTAATCTTTTCCGAATTAAATAGTTACATGTCTCTTTTATACGGTCGTTTTGGAAAATTCAATCTAACTGAACCACAAGAGAAGGTGGGCGCATTTAAAATTTTAAAGTCACAGCAAAGTTTAAAAATCTTCATTTGTGAACAGCGTTTAAAAATTAAATAAAAATATTTTCTTCTACAATGCATTTTTGATCCAAAGACACCTTATGTCCCTAATTTTTAGGACACTCATCAGGCTTTTGTGTATTGTTTAGGAATTTTTAAAATTGTTTTTCTTACTTCCTTCACAGTGACGATTCACAAACAGTGCCCAAACCTGTCACAATTTTAAATAACATATTTCTAAACGATCTAAGTAGTTTTGCTTTGAAAATAAGCACATGAGCGTAGCCTACTAATCTTTGGGGGTTGAAATGCCTGAAGTGTAATCCCCCTCCAGCTTTTAACTTACGCCCATGTATAAATATTTTTAAAGCAAGGGTAACTTGTGCTCAAAAATAGTTATGCGTTACGTAAAATAGTGACAGGTTTGGGCACTGTTTGTGAATTGTCACTGTGAAGAAAGTAAGAAAAACAATTTTAAAAATTCCAAAACAATTCACAAAAACCTGATGCGTGTCCTAAAAATTAAGGACATAAGGTGTCTTTGGATCAAAAATGCATTGTAGAAGAAAATATTTTTATTTAATTTTTAAACGCTGTTCACAAATGAAGATTTTTAAACTTTGCTGTGACTTTAAAATTTTGAATGCGCCCACCTCCTCTTGTGGGTGAGTTAGATTGAATTTCCAAAACGACCGTATAAAAGGGACATGTAACTATTTAATTCGGAAAAGATTACCAAAATTGGTTGACCACTCTTGAAGATATATCCCAAAAGCCGAATAAATTTTGTGATTTTCTTAAATTAAAGATACCGCAAATACCAGAGCTGATGGACTATAGGCGTAGTGGCAACTTATGCTTAGAATAGCCTAATTTATCGAAATAAAATGGTGGCAGGCCTGGACATCGACCCATGTCACATTTTGTCGGCCTGTGTTATAATAGGGAAGGTTAGACTAGGGAAATAATTTTTCTTGTTTATTTTTCGGAAAAAATTATTTATTTTTGAGTATGTCAAGAACTAACCGTTTCCCTTTGTTTTGAAAATATACGAAAAGTAGGAAAAAAATTTGGATTAACAATAAAAATATTTAGATGAAAAATACTTTTACTTTTACTTTTGAAACAAATATCATATAAGCCGGTCAAGATTTATCAATTTTAAATTCTGATTTTGCTTAAAAGCAGGGACCGAAAATAATGATTATTTTTTTTGGGTAAAAAAGAAAAATCACCACTTAATGATTATTTTGTAAGCGAAAAAAATATCGCTCAGAAATAATGATTATTTTGTGAGTGATATTATTTCGCTTAAAATATCACTCAAAGTGTGATTGAAGCCGTCCTACGCGGAATTTTACAATTATTTAAATGTGCACTTGTAGGTAGAAGTCTTAAGATCAAGCAACCAATCCTACAAATTAGTTTAAGGCAAGTGCTATCAGGAAAAATTAAGACTTCTTTAATATTAATGGACTAGGTGTTTTCATTGAATTTTGTTTTTAAACATTTTTAATGTCTCGTCCGTAATCAAAAGACCTCATTTTTTCTTTTCACTAGTCCAATTTGCGACACATATAAACCAGCTTTTATGCCTAAAGCAAGGATATTTGGAACAAATTAATACAAATTTTTGACACTACAAATTAGCGCATTAATATTTTTAAAAAATTTTAAAGTCTGTCGCGTCCGTAATTTTAATTTTTTATTACTAGAAAACAATTGTTCATAATTTTTTTTGTGAAGTTTATTGTTTTATTTGAAGCTATGAAAAACGTCGAATGTCTTGCGTTTCATGAACTTTATTTAATAATATTTATATAATTTACAACAAATTTTGCTATCAGAGAGAAAACACTTATCAAGTCCTTTAGAATTATTTCAATATGCTCGAGAATAAATCTTCTTTACATTACAGATTCCAAAATACACCATGCATCCATTACCAGACAATAAGAAATTTGTATGGGCCTTACAGCCTTTCCAACTAAAAACAGAATTAAATAAAATACTCTATACGTGCAAATATTTCTAAGATTAACTTTTTTTAAAAAGGGATTTCTGCACTTACTAGCAGAATTTAATTAAACTCTAACCACTAATTTTCATAGAACAAGCTATATAAAAACTATGTTTCTATTAGAATGAGGTGAATAGGGCTAAAATAATTTAACCAAACTTTCAGTACGAACTTTAGTAACACGTATAATAGCTCTGCAACATTTTATTTTTGCACTAGTTTTAGCAAAAAATACGCTGAATGTTTTGCCACCGAACTTGCTTTGATGTGTTCTCTTACTCAGCAGGTATTCTGGAAAAAAAACCCAAAATAATACGCCCTCCAGTTTCGCAGAATTTAAGGTTTTTCTAAACTTTTCAATATTGCAGTTCTATTTTTGTCGCGTCCGTATTGCACTTATTTTATTTTATTTCTAAAAACTGGCTGGACAGATAATTTTCATTTTTTCACCATAAATACAAGAGCGTCTGAGCTATCAAACAAAAATATAAAAAGTAAAAAATGTATACTGCGTCACTGTTATTTTTAAAGCTAAGAAAAAAATTAATTTTCTTTGTATAAACCGCTAAAGAAGCGGTTGTTTTTGCACAAAAAAAAATTTTCTGTGGGAATCGAACTCGTGCTTACAGCAAGGGGGACCAACACACTAACACCCAACCCATATGTCGGGTGGGATCTATGTGGAATAGTTCATAACATCTTGTCAAGTCGTTTTGCTAATATATAATGACATAAATTCCTAAGGATGCCACAACTTTTTGTATTTATGCATACCTCTTGTAAACTAATAACCGCGTTTTCGAAAGTTTATACAAAGAAAACACCTTATTTTATTAATTCAATATGTGCTCCGTGGTTCTACCTACAAGCACAAATTTAAATCTTTCTAAAATTCCGTACAGAACGGCTGCAATCGCACTTTGAGTGATATTTTTTAGAGAAATAAAATCGCTCACATAATAATCATTATTTCTGAGCGATGTTTTTTTCGCTTACAAATAATCATTAAATGGTAATTTTTATTTTTTCACTTGTAAAGAAGCTACTACGGCCGGGGTGATCCTCAGCGGCCCAGAGTTCCCCACAAAATTTATAATATTCTGAGACGGCCAAGACATAAGACGCCAATGATTTGTCTGGGGTTTCTTAGAGGGGAACGAACAAGGTGGGGTTGTTAGGGACTATGCGGAGCCAGCGGGGCTATCGGCGGCTACTGCTGTGGCCCGGAATGCTCCAGCGGCCAATGCCTCTGTCCGGCCCGGAATAATCCAGCGGCGCGTGCACGAGTCGGCGCCCGGAAATTGTCCAGCGGCCCGTGCTCAAGCCTGTACCCGGAATAATCCAGCGGTCAGCGCTCAAGCCTGTACCCGGAAATGGTCAAGCGGTCACAGGAAGAAGGATCAGGCACGAGTCCTAGTTGAAGGTCCCGGGGTACGCGAGGAAAAGAAGAGGGGTGATCTATTCGTCCTTTTATTTGTTCCGAAGGTTCTAGCAGTTCCATTGTTGGCCGGCGGCCATGCTCACCCGTAGGGGAGCGCCTCGATGTGCGTCCTCTGGTTACTTGTCACTTTCGCGTCCGATCACTTCGCTGGTTTACTTTCGACTCCCTTCCCTTTTTCTGATCGTGATTCCTGGGACCTAATTCTGCCGAAAACTCCGGGACAGCGATGCTTTGCGCGAGAGCGCTGTTTTAAACTTCGGCGACAGCGCTGCTGAAAACTTTGGCGGCAGAGCTGCTCGCGTCGCTGGTGGTCTCTTTCGCTCCTTGGCTTGTAGGAGCGGCGCGGCTGCCGTTTTTGATCGGTGCTTGCTCTTCGTCTCTTAGTTCTCTTTCCCAGCGGCGAAAATTGCCATTACAAAATGGATTACGAATGCATTACTTCTCCTCTCGTAATAGAGAAACAATGGATTACAACATGGATTACTTTGCCATAGGCATGGCCGCCTTGTAATGTGGTCGGGAGACAATTTGCATTACTAGTAATGGGAAAAGTATGCTAGGGCCGAATCACCTTCGGGTCTCCATTACGAATTCAATATACTTTTCCGAAATTGTAATGCAAAATGTAGACGGACTAGAGAAAATTCAACATGCAATTTGAAAAACGTATGCTGAGTTGTAATGCATGTTCATTTATGAAAACAAAAAATATTCTTTCCTCATGTAGGAATTGAACATGGGTATTATTGTATAATGGATGGAAAGGCTAACCGCTCGGCCATTGTCTGTGCTTTTTTTAGTTCGTCAAACTATATTTAGAATGCATGCTGTTATTATTAAAGTTCCGAAGCTCAAACGTGAGGGAGGGGAAACGAAAAACGAACACATAGACAATAATTATACCCGTTACTCGTAGAGTAAAAGGGTATATTGTATTCGTGCAAAAGTATGTAACAGGTAGAAGGAAGCGTTTCCGACCCCATAAAGTATATATATTCTTGATCAGGATCACTAGCCGAGTCGATCTAGCCATGTCCGTCTGTCCGTCTGTCCGTCTGTCTGTCTGTCTGTCTGTCTGTCTGTCTGTCTGTCCGTCTGTCCGTATGAACGCTGAGATCTCGGAAACTATAAAAGCTAGAAGATTGGCATTTTGCATGCAGATTCTGGGAGTTCCTACGCAGCGCAAGTTTATTTCAAAAAGGTGCCACGCCCCCTCTAACGCCCACTAGCCCTCTCTATCGCCCACAGTTTTGAAGCTATTATGAAAATAGTAACTGATATGTATTTGTTTCGTCAATACATATCGATTGGCCAAGTAAAAGTTTGCCACGCCCACTCTAACGCCCGCAAAACCCATTTAACGCTTAAACCTGTCTAGCGCCTACATTTCCGCCTTTCATGGCCAGTAGTACCAATATCTTGGGGTAGATGGCTCAATTCAATATACAATAGCGCCATCTATTCAGATGGTTAATTTGAACTTTTTGTCCTTTTTTTCTGTGGTCACACTAATTCACAATATGTTATTGCAAATTTTAAATTATTTGAAAAGGGCGCGCATTTTGTCTCTTTTTGCTCGTATTCGTTTTTCACAAGTGCATTCACCTGCGCTAGAGAGAGACGGAAGATGTGCTAGGCAGAATTGAAAGTTTTAGAAGGCCTCCACGTGGAGTTCCCTGGGTAAAAAACGGGAGCTAATTCCAGCTTCGAAAAACAAAAAAGGAGGCATATTTCTATTAAGTTGTTTAGCTGAGTAACGGGTATCTAATAGTCGAGGCACTCGATTATAGCGTTCTCTCTTGTTTTTATGTGTGTTTGTGATTTTTGACGAAGGGAAATCGTTAGCGAACGAAAAAACGAAGTCATAGGAGCCCTGATTACAACTTCTCTAACGAAAAGCAGCGATAGTAATCGGTTACATTTTCTTTACATGTAATGCATTTTTTCTCCAGACCCCATTCGCCTGTTCGCCGCTGGGTTGTACTTCTAGTTCTCTTTGTACTTCTAGTTCTCTTAACATATAACTGACTTTGTGGCCTCGTGCCCTCTTAAATTAGATAACGTGTGGCTTCGTGCCCTCTTAAATTAGATAACGTGTGGCTTCGTGCCCTATTAAACTAAATCTTATGCTAATGCGCTTATATACTTATGTCAAATTTGTGACTTCGTCACACACTTATAATGATTACGGTCCCTGCTTAAAAGTGTTTTTTCCGTTAAAGCATTTTTTTCAATATTTTAAATGTAAGTATCGGCTACGATGATATTTTTGTCAAAAATTAAACGAAATACCAGTAATTTTTTTTTGCGAATGCGGTTTTAGGCATATAGGCATATTTTTTGGAGAAAATGGCCTAGGATGGCCCATAGATTGTGTTCGCCCAAACGATTTATAACGTTTGTCGCGTCCATACAAATGTTCCAAATTCAAAACAACCGAGATACTTATGATAAAAAACAGCATTTTTCTCTTGCAAATGCGGAGGGTCAAACGAGGTTTTTGAGACATCGTTTCTTTAGCAATATTGCTAAGAATTGTTCTTAGATTAGCAGACCCCCAAATCGACCCCCCAAATATACATACATATGTATGTACTCTTACTTACGAGTTAAAATCGGGACGCATGTCGGGCTGCTCCGCCCAGCACTGGCGCATGATATTGATGGCCTCCGGCGGAGCGGCTCCTTTGGAAACAGAGGGCCGAATCAGGGGCGGAGGCTTCTTGATTTTGGCTATTATTTCCTCCGGAGCCAGGGAGAGCATACAGTAGGGCTCCCCCCTGACTACCACCTCCTGCATGATGATTCCAAAGGAGTAGACGTCTCCGAGTTGGGTCCCTAACTGAATACGTCCGTGCTGGTGGTGATGGTGGTGTTGCTGCTGGTGGTGCTTCATGCTCCGTAGGAGTTCTGGAGCTGTCCACAGCAGCTCCTTGGCACTTCTGGGCCTTGGCGGGAGTCCCTGCGATTCGTAAAAAGAGTTCAATCCGTAGTCAGTGATCTTCAAGACCCATCGGGCGTCCACTACGCAGTTTCTGGAGGTCAAGGCTCCATGAACCCTCAAGGGAGAGGTGTGCAGGTATCGCATACCCCTCACCAGATCGGTGAGTAAGCTCAGCCGGAATGACCAGTCCAGTTTGATCTCATCCATGATTAGCACATCCTGTAGCGATCCCCTGGAGCAGTAATCGAAGACCATGGCCGTCCGATTGGGATCGGATAACCATCCAATCAAGGGGTTGATATTTTCGTGCCTCAGGCCATGGGCCATAACCAGTAGATCCATCGCTTTGGTACGCAACTCTGCGGAACCGTTCATATGCACCTCCTTCAGCTGCACAAGATCACCATTGTATCGAGCTCTCATGTCTAAATGGGCAGGATTGTGCCTGGCCAAACTGCCCGTTGCGGAGGAGGCACCTTTCCCGTTCGCCGTGGCTGTGATGCCTGAGCCTGAACTTCCCGGACCAGCTGCACCCGGTATCACAAATCCTAGATTCTTAAGAGAGCCTATGGAGCCTTTCAGGAGATCCGGTTTATCTACTTCAGGCCCACCAAACTCCTGCAGCTGCTGTAGCCAACAACAGAGCATGGCCTCTATACCCTCATCAACCTGAAAAACGATACATTATAAATAAAGTGGGCCGAGGAATTAGAAAAGAATTTCGGTGCTCACCCTTCGAGAATCCACGGGGAAGACAAAGTCGCTGGCCGAAAGAACTATCTTGTTCGGACCTTTGGAGAGCCGCTTCCGTAAAAAGTAGTTTCTGCACGAGTTAGAAAAATTAAGAATGAATTAAATGTTAAAATATCTTCCTATAATACCTATTATAATAATAATTAATAATAATTTATTTAATAATAATAAATAAATATTTATTTAAATTTTCAGTTTGAAGAGATGCTGATTTTGAATTTTTTTACTCTACAATAATCTGAATCTTGCGATTTATGAACTGATGCACCCAAGGATTTATAAACATCGCTACATCTCCTTTTCTACCCACTCTGTTTATTCTCGTCTTTGTCCAGCAGTCTATTCCGGCCGTATATATTAGGTGCCCTGTTTTGTTTTGTGTCGCGCTTGCTAATTAAATTTTCATGAGTTGCATTTCACCTGACGGAGCTGGACAACAAAAATATTGCGGTTAATTGCGCATGTTTGCTAGTTTAAATCAGGGATGTTCTTAATGAGGCTGGCTAACAGAACACATTGCCAACCTGATGAAGGCAATTAATTAAAACAATTAATATCCGTCACTCGGCTAAATGAAGTGCGAGGGAGATGGATATATAATTTTTTTTTTTTGCGTATAACTTTTTTATAATTGGTCCGATTTGAAACAAGAAAGGAAGCTAGCGTCGGCAAGCCGAGGCTTATATACCCTTGCATATCATTCAATTAATTTACAAATTGCAAAAATTTTAAATTTTCTATTATTTTACATTAATTTTTCGATCGTTTCTATGGCAGCTATATGATATAGTAGTTCGATCTTTTTAAACTTAAAATCGAAATTAGGAAATATTAAAAAAATTTCATATCCCAGAGTAGAAGAGAATGTAATAAAAATCAACAGAGATATAATTTTTTTCCTATTAATTTCCATTTAATTTTTCGACCGTTCCTTTGGCAGCTATATGATATAGTGATCCGATTTTTTAAATATTTAATTCGAAATTCAGAAATATATAAAAAATAACATTCCCAAGAGTAGAAGGTAATATTTGAAAAACACCGAAGCTAGAATTTTTTAACGTTTTTTTTCCGATCCTTCCTATGGGAGCTATAAGATATAGTTGTCCGATCCGGTCGGTTCCGACATATATACTACCTGCAATAGAAAGAAGACTTTTGGGAAAGTTACATCCCGATAGCTCAAAAACTGAGAGACTAGTTTGCGTAGAAACAGACGGACAGACGGACGGACAGACGGACATGGCTAGATTGACTCGTCTAGTGATGCTGATCAAGAATATGTATACTTTATGAGGTCGGAAACGTCTCCTTCCCTGCGTTGCAAACTTCTGACTGAAATCATAATACCTTCTGCAAGGGTATAAAATGTTTTCTACATTTCGATAGGTAAACATATACACAACGAAATTGCATTTATACTTCTCGGAAATCTTTAAAATTAATTTCGGTTTTTAGGCGTGTATTTTTAATGAAGCCATTTATGCCAGCGTTTTTGGATTTTTTTCAACTTTTTCAAGTTTGACGAAGTGTAGCTTCTGAACTAATGAATGGAACTCAATGCTGTGTATAAGAAAATTAGAGGGCATTATTTTACCTGTAAAATGAGTTTTCGATGGCCGCAATCGGTAAGTCACAGCTCGAGTTAGAAATTAAAAAAAGGCCAAAAACGTTTTTTACACTTAAAAAAAAAATGACACCATAAAAAAAATTTTAAGTGCCCATTTCTTAATCAGGGAGTTGTATCTTACCGGAAAATTAAGGTTGTCTTCGATGAGGAAGAGGTCGATTTTATTTTGTAAACTGGTGTTATTGGGGTTTGTCATAAAAATAATCAAACTATGCTCAAAATTTTTAGTTGAGCTCAGGATCCAACTAATTAGAAACTAATATGGCGGCAAAATCATGTGAAAATATGTTTTATTCAAGTTTAAAGGTTTTTGGCTTGGTGGACTTTTTGGTGGAAGTACCCATATTCATTCGAAAGAACTTCGAAAAATCTTTAAAGAGGAGCAGTCAGAGAATCGCGCTTCTAAGGCTGCAGCATTAAAATTGAGGTTTTAAGGTTTTGCGTAACAAATTGTTTCATATTGATTGCACTTTGTTACATAAAAAATTTACCTCGATGGATGCGATATATTTCAATTGGTTTTGAAATCGCAAAATGAACTGCGTTCACCGAAAAGTTCTCCAAAGCAAGGATTTATTATAGGTATTCTTCTTCGGACTCTTGGTTTGTGTAGTGTAAAATCATTTTAGTTCGTTATACTTTTATTGTCTGTTCCAGCGAACCGGACTGATAGTCGTTAATAAATCAATTCCCCTTGATAGGCACCAGAATATAGACCGCAGATGCAAAGGTACAGGGCGCTACTGTAAATCGAAGCTCCATACTTACTGAACATTAAAATGAAAATCGAAACATCAAATGACTTACCTCATCGCAATCCCTGCGGCCACAATGCCCACTACGATGATGACCAGAAGGCCCACGCAAATCGCCGCGATGGTCCAGCAAATAGCGCCGCACTGCCACAAAAGGACTCTGCTGACCAGCAGCCACTCGTCGTACCCTGGTTGAACGGAGTGGGTGATGTAGGAGCCACTCTCTCCGCCTCCTGACCCTCCTTCACTCCTCCCTCTGTCGCTCTCCAGGATGAGCAGAGGTCGCCACTTGTAACTAGCCGCCCGCACGTCCCAAACAATGTCCAGTACCACGAAATCATATTTGGGACTGGCTTCCGGTGTATCCGACTGGGTGGTAGTAGTTACAATCGTATCGTAGAGTGGAAAGAGGCTGCGATACGGGTACAGTTTTTCCAGACTTGCATTGCGAAGGCCACTGGGCGGTGGTTCCGTGTAGTTTCCATTTTCAACATTTCCGATGGGCGTGCGAAAATTCCGGATTGTTGCCATCAATCCGGCCGCATTCAGAAAGTGTCGATGTCGGTCGCTTAGCAGAGTCAGCACCAACAGATTGCTGCTGACCAGCCCGACCGGAGAACTCGTGTTACCTCCGGAGCTGCCCGTCACTGACTCACTGATCCGTGCCAAATATTTGTAGAACCAATGCTGGATGTCCAACGAGCTGGCCGCCATGTCGACGAGTAAAATTTTAGTGTGCCGCCTTGGGGACCCCGAATCCTGCGCATCCTCTTTTGCCTGCCCCGCCCACTCCCTTTCGATGCTGGTCAGCAGGCGTGTGGTACTCTCATCGTTCAGCGGGGCAGTGATAATGATTGCTGAAAGTCGAAATCAAATCACAAATTTGTAAGACATAATAGCATGGAGAATGGCATTTTTCAAAATTAAAGTTAAAAGAGGAGAGAAAGCTTTAGTCGAGTACCTCGAATATAAAATACCCGTTACTCAGCTAAAGGAATAACTTTTTAGTGTTTGGTCCGGGTTGAAAAATTTATTTGCATGCCGATGACTATTTACAAATTAAATACAAAATGTACACTGCAACAAATCTTTGGAAATGTGGGCGCCACATACTCCTACGGTTTGTGGGCATGGCACTGTGATGACAAACTTGCGCAGCGCAGGAATTTTCACGAGAAGTCCCCCCTTCTAGCCGCCTTTATAGTTTCCGAGATCTCAGCGTTCATACATTGAGAAAACTTGAGAACGAAAAAACCAAGAACGAATCTTCTTGATTTCAGTATTTTGTCTTTTCTGGCTTTTTGAGAACACATCATTCTTGATTTCGTTTATCCCCAAGCATTCTTGAAATCGTTCTGAACAAAAAAACAAGAGAGAACGCTATAGTCGGGTTGTTGTCCCGACTATCTAATACCCGTCACTCAGCTAAAGGGAGTGCGAACGCTGTGTCGGGTTGGTGTCCCGACTAATAATCGTAACTCAGCTAAAGGGAGTGCGAGGGAGATAGATATATAATTTTTGATTGCGTATAACTTTTTAATGAATGGTCCGATTTGAAAAATGTCTTCTACATTTCGATAGGTATAAATATACACAACAAAATTGCATTTATACTTCTCGGAAATCTTTAAAGATGTGGGCGCAGGACCCATTTTAAAATCGTTAGTGGGCGATTGTGGGCGTTAGAGGGGGCGTGGCGCTCGGCTAAAATAAACTTGCGCTGCGTAGGAAGCCAAAGAATATGTGTGGGAAATCTCAACCTTCTAGCTTTTGTAGTTTCTGAGATCTCAGCGTTCATACAGACGGACAGACAGACAGACAGACAGACAGACAGACAGACAGACAGACAGACGGACAGACGGACATGGCTAGATCGACTCGGCTAGTGACCCTGATCAAGAATATATATACTTTATGGGGTCGGAAACGCTTCCTTTTAGCTGTTACATACTTTTGCACGAATCTAGTATACCCTTTTACTCTACGAGTAACGGGTATAATGAGATGGATTCAAAATGAGAGTGACATTCTCTGTGGAATTTTTCGGGAAGCTACCGAAGTTCACTTCGGCTCTCGTTAAATGCTTGTTTTTTTTTATGCCAGTGAAGCGGAGTAAGTGAAGCCAGTATGATGGGCGCGGACGACACACGTTTAAAGAACCTTCTAGAGGAACTAGATATTTTGAGTGCGCTGCCCTTCCTCAAACGTAAGTATTTAATAATAACTGTGGGATGCGGTAGTGGAGAGACAAGGACCACTAGAAGCGGTCTTACCTTCTGATCTGTTATCTTTCCCTTTCTGTACTCAGTATTTATAATTTGTACTCAATACCCAGTTGCGACGTGAGAAAAGTGGCAACGCACTGCCATACACTCGCTGACAGAATCTCGCGGAGAACAGAACATAAGAAGCACACGTATTTTTGTCAAACTTAAGTTCATAATTCGAATGTGAATAAAGTCTATCATTTAATACATTTAAACGTCAGCGTTATCTCTTACAAAAGAGGAACCTGCAATTTTTGGGGGCTCATTCGAGATATGGCCATCCATTCGACAGAGCTATAACATTCGTTTTGCGCAAATCACGTGGAGTGCAGGGAAAGCAGAGAGCTGGTGAAATTTCGCAAATTGGGCTGGAGGAGATCTGCAAATCGTCATAAGCAATTTGGCTGGAGTGTGACAAGAAAGGCAGGAGTTGACAGCAAGGCGAAGAGTTTCATCATAGAGGCGTACATTTGCAAGCTACTGAGGCAAAGTAAAACGCAAGTACAAAGACACAGAGAAGTGCCGACACACACATATAAGCAGAGACAGTTGCGGATTTTGTGGAGGCAAGAACTTTGAAAGTCAGCGGACGCAGAGCTGAAAAAAATTGCGGAGCAGCGGTTTGTGGCTGGGAGCAGTTTCGAGGCAGCGGATCACGGCGTGAGATCTAGGAGAAGCAGCGGACAAGGGCTGGAAGCAGTGGAGATAGAGCGAGCAAGACATTGGATCTAGTGTGGTCATCGGAGCGTGCGTGCAGGATTGTGTAAGCGGAGGGCTGGTACACATATCTTGGCAGCAGACGAAGACATCCAGAAGGTTCCAGTTGAGTTTGGATATCATCATTGTATTTGTGACGCGATGCAAGCGTAAGCAATAAATACGACGAGTAACAGAGGCGACCTCATTGAGCGAGAGGCGAACTATTGGAGGAGAGTTGCCCGAAAGTTTATTTCAAGTTGTATGTAAGCTAGTGGGGTAACATTGAAATCAAGCAGTGCTAAAATCAACATTGCAGATACAGGGTGGTTAATCTATTTACTTTTTGCTGTTGATATTAGAATTGAGAAAACTTTGTTTAAACTTAATATTCTACAGGATAAATTTGTAAAATGGAGAGAAGCGAGATCTTGGCATTGCGAGTCGAAGAGTTGCGGCGGAAGTTGTCGGAGTTGCAATTGGGTACGACTGGATTGAAAGCTGAATTGCAAGAGAGATTATTGACCTACTTTGGATTGAATGAAGGAGGTGAGTCAGAAACGGAGGATAATGGAGAAGATGGTAGATCAGTGTCATCCGCAGGAACCACTGTAAATCGCCCAAATGCAGGTTGGCATGAAGGATTAGGCAATGAAAGACAGGGTAGATCGTGGTTCACTTTGAAAGACGTCGAGGGCAGTGTTTCGCAGTTTTCTGGGTCGAACTCCCCAGATATAAACCAATGGATAGGAGAGTTGGAAGATTGTGCAGCTACAGTTGAGTGGAACCCTTTACAGGTGTTTGTTTATGCAAAGCAGTTGCTTAGTGGAGCAGCAAAGATGTTTGTGCGTAGCCAGAGGAATATCAAAGATTGGGCAGAAGTCCATCGCAGGTTGGGAAAACGACAGCAGCATAAGGGTGAATCCTTGCATGAATTCCTCTATGCACTTATGGAAATCGCCAAGCCCATTCATTTGGAAGAAGAGAGTCTGATTGAGTATTTCGTTGAGGGTATCCCGGATGCTAGATCTAATAAGGCTATGCTGTATCAAGCTAGAAATCTTAAAGACCTTAAGCTACAAATCGACGCTTATCAGAAATCTCGTGGTTCATCCAAGCCAGTAAACAAATATGGTTCGCAGGGTAGCAAGGCTGTGAACGACCCGAATAAAGAAGCGGTAGCTGGATCAGTTAGGAAATGTTTCCGGTGCGGAGATTCGTCGCACATGAAGAAGGACTGTCCTGTAAAAGAAAAATGTTTCAAATGCGATCAACCAGGACATCGAGCAGCGCAGTGTAAGGCAGAAGTACAGGTCAAAACAGAGAGAGCAACAAATGTTGTTCAGAAGGATAAAGTCGTTTCAACACCATCGCGTGATTCCTTTTCGTCGAGCTTGGAATTGAAATCCGTGATTTGCATGAATTCTGAATTCAAAGGACTTGTGGACACAGGGGCCGAATTGTGTTTGATGCGTAGGCGTGTGTTCTTGAAGCTAGGCGTAGGAGTTGGCAGTCTGATGGGTCGTCAGAGAGTTTTGACAGGGATCGGTGAAAGTCAGGTTCTAACATTCGGAAGCTTCATAACAAGTGTTGTTATCGATGGTATTGATATGTCGGTCGAGTTTCATGTCATACCAGATGAGGATATGAAGTTTGACGCAATTTTAGGCACACCAATCTTAGACAACGTGGACATGTTGGTAACCAAGTCTGGTACTATATTTTCAACAAGAGTTCGTTGTGCTCAGCAAGGACCACAGAAAGGATCCGACGATAACCAGACAGGGCAAAGTTCTTGTGTGCAGCTAATTACCGAGTTCGAGAGTCTGTGCATGATCACCACAAAGGACTATGAGGCAGTTTCGGGAGTAGATTTGGAGCATTTGAGTCAGGAAGTAGCTTTTGAAGTGGAATCATTGATCGAGAACTACAAACCGAAGATAAATCTCACTTCCCCAGTCGAGATGAAGATCTTGTTGACAAATGAGTTGCCCGTTTTTCAACATCCCAGACGTTTGGCTTATTGCGATCAGAAAATTGTCGATGATCAGGTTCAAGAATGGTTAGAGGAGGGAATTATCAAGCCTAGTACATGCGAGTTTGCTTCGCCAGTGGTTCTTGTTGATAAAAAGAACGGGAAGAAGCGCTTGTGTTGCGATTATCGCAAACTAAACGAAAAGATTGTCCGAGATAACTTCCCAACAGCTCACATGGATTGCGTAATCGAAAAGCTGCAAGTTGGAGAAGTTTTTACAACATTAGACTTGACTAATGGTTTCTTTCACGTGCCTATTTCGCCAGAATCACAAAAGTATACCTCGTTCGTAACTCAGAGTGGGCAGTATGAGTTCCTGTTTGTACCCTTCGGTATAACAAACTCTCCAGCAGTGTTTACCAGGTTTATCATGGCGGTTTTGCGTGATTCGATTCAGAAAGAGGATGCTGTTGTATACATGGATGATGTGATCATTGCGAGTAAGAGTATCGATGAGGGCGTTCAGAAATCGAAGCGAGTTTTGGAAGTGGCACAGAGAAATGGTTTGCGCATAAATTGGAGTAAGTGTCAGGTGTTGAAGCGCAAAGTTAATTTCTTAGGCTATGTCGTTGAAAATGGTACCATTAAGCCAGGTGATGAGAAGACTTGAGCAGTAGCTGAATTTTCTATTCCGCGCGACAGAAAAGGAGTCCAACGATTCTTAGGGTTGACGTCGTATTTTCGTAGGTTTGTGGAAGGATACGCCGTAATTGCCAAACCGTTGTCCGACCTATTGCGCAAAGAGGAGAAATTTGAGTTTCATGACAAGCAGCTAGGAGCATTCGAAAAGCTCAAGGAAGCGTTGATCAGTGGACCAGTTCTGAAGCTCTATGATCATTCGCTTGAAACGGAGATTCAC